CAACTACAGCTCCATTTGGCTGACATACACTATAGACTCTATACATAACAGATTCTGTAAACATGTGAACTAATTCCTTAAGATCTATAATCTCTCTTATCACCTCTCCATCCATCTATCCACCCATCCATTCTTTATTCTATTGATTCTGTTTCTTACTCCCTAGAAAGCACTGATTAAAAGAACCACTCATATCAGATAGTCAAGGAGAGAGGAGATGGGCAGTTTTTCTAGAACCATCTTGAAAGTCCTGTTACTAGGAAAGAGAAGACTTGGGGTTTAAAAAAGTCATGGATGTTCACTACAGTTGGAAACTATTAAATCAACTTAATGCTATTTAGTCAAAGCAGTCTGACTGACAACGATGTCTTAGAACATTCTCCATTGCGGAAAGAGCAAAGGTATTGCTGGCAGTAAAAGCTGATGTGTTTTTTACCTATTGTTTTTATGAAGGCAGATATGTGTGCGAATGATATGCAAAATGTTTAGAAGTAGTTCTCTTTACAGGAGACATGTACTTTAATTTACATGGTATGGATTGAGTACAACAATATGACTGTCTAAAACATTCCCCACATCCAGTGAGTGCCTGAACGCTATTAAGGAATGCATGTGTTAAAGCTGTGGAGAAAGTTCAGTGGGTAGGGACTGCTTGCTTGCTGTGCAAGCACGAACCCCTGAGTTTAGATCACCAGTACCCACCAAACAAGCCAAGTATGGCCGTCTTCCTATAACTTCAGATATGGCAAGGTGGAGACAGAGATAAGAGGATCTCTCTGGCTTTCTGGGCCTCTGGCCAGTTTAGGTGACACAGAACATCAAGCTCTAGGTTCAATGAGACAACCTGTCTCAGGGGAATAAGGCAGAGAGTAATAAAAGACACTCTGTGACATGCATGGACACACATTTGCATACACGCACAAATTATTTATTCCTTTTTTTTCACTTGAAGGCATGAGGGCTCTTCAAAATGTACAAGTAGAACAGAAATAACCTTTAGAAATACTGTCTTAGTTTGCTTTCTGTTACTGTGATAAAACATTGATCAAAAGCAATTTAGGCAGAAGAGGGTTTATTCATCTTACGTATCACAGCTCCCAGATCACAGTCCATCACTGGGGAAAGCCAGCACAGGAACCTGGAGCAGAGGCCAGGAAAGAGCACTGCTTACTGGCTCACTTAGCTTTCTTTCTTACACAACTCAGAGCCATCTGCCTAGGTGTGGCACTGTCTACAGTGGGCTGGGCCCTCCCACGTCAACCAGCAATCAAGAAAATGTTCCTACAGGGTATATGATGAAAACAGTTTCTCAATGGAAAGTCTCTCTTGCCAGGTTACTCTATTTGTGTCTAACTGACAAAGACTAATCACTGCAAATATCCAAAGTGCTCAACCCAGACTATAAACATTTAAGATTTACTCATTCAATTTATATAACCTATATTCCTCAAAGATTCTATAAGAAAGAATTTGGGGGTAGAGGAGGTATGATCACTCCTTACATATTATATTATCAATATATATTAGCATACTAAAGACTATGAGAAGTCACAGACTAAGAAACTCTAAACACTTTTTTGCTTTGTTCTTCCCCCTCCCCCAGTGCACTCCCCCCTTTAAAAAAATTAAATTAGAAACAATCTTATTTTACATATCAATCCCAGTTCCCTCTCCTTCCCATCCTCTTTCCCCCCACTGGCCCCCATCCCACCCCTGCATCCACTCCCAAGGGAGAGTGAGGCCTCCCATGGGGGAATCATCAAAGTCTATCTCATCATTTGGGGCAGGACCTAGGCCATCCCCCATGTATCTAGACTAAGAGAGCATCCCTCCATGGGGGAATGGGCTCCCAAAGTCCATTCATGCATTAGAGATAAATACTGGTTCCATAGCCAGAGGCCCCATAGACTGCCCAAGCCTCCTAACTGACACCCATGTTCAGGGAGTCTGGATCAGTCCTCAGTCCTATGCTGGTTCCCCAGCTGTCTGACTGGGGTCCATGAGTTCCTACTTGTTCAGGTCAGCTGTTTCTGTGGATTTTCCCAGCATGGTCTTGACCCCTTTGCTGATTGCTTTGTTCTTATTGTTTGTGTATTCATGGTATATGTGCCATGGTTCACACGTATGGAGGTCAGAGAACACCCTTTGCAAACTAGTTTTCACATTCTGGTGTGAGCTCTGTTGATAGAAATCAAGTTGTCTGTCCTTCCTGGCCAGCACTTTTAAAGGAATTCTATAATTGCTCACCCCACAAAGTTGAAAAGTATTAAGAGAACGTATGGAAAGTGAAAGTCGCTAACTCATAGTTTATACTCAAGGAATGTTGATTTTTACCAAGTGCCATTTTATCAAGAGTGCCTGTGCTGCCTGTCCCCAAGCCTGCTTCCCCCTCTGCTTCTCCTCCTTTCTTTCTCCTCCCCCTTCTTTTCTCTTTTCCTTCCTTTTCTCTTTGCAGGGAAGGTTTTATTTCAAATGTCCTTTCCTTTCTTCCATTTTAGAATAATTGTAGGCTGAGGCTTCCTCACGGCACTGACAATCTACAGGAAGATGACATAGTGAGGGAGTGGTAAGAGGCAAGAGATGTGTGAGGGGTGGTGCCTGGGTATAAATGCTGAGACACCTGCCAAACAGAAAAATACAGACAGGAAGGAGGGCAACAACCCAGATTCAGAGCACTAAAGTGAATTCAGAAGAAAATGCTGCAGGAGGTTCTCTCCTCTCTCTCTCTCTCTCTCTCTCTCTCTCTCTCTCTCTCTCTCTCTCTCTCTCGTGTGAGTGTGTGTGTGTGTGTGTGTGTGTGTGTGTTCTTAATTAGATGAATAGATGAATTCTCCAGGGAAGAAAAGAGGTGAAAATACCAGGTGAGTACTCTGGATCTGCATATTAGATATTTATATCACAATTCTTAACAGTAGCAAAATTATAGCTATGAAGTAGCAGCAAAATAACTTTATGGTTGGGGGGTCACCACAACATGAGAAACTGTATCAAAGGGTCGAAGCATTAGGAAGGTTGTAGAACCTGCACACAACACTAAAGTGCTATCTACTTTTCTAAAATAATAGTGACTTTGAGCTATGTTAATTAACTAGAGCAATAGAGAGTGACAAAAATCGTTTTGTTTTTTTTTCAAAGAAAATTGGTCAGGAAATAATCAAGACAAAAGGAGGAAGTAATAGCAATGTTTAATACAGCTGGGTGAGGGTTTTTCCCCTTTTATTGAAAATTGAATTTTTTCTCATATAATATATCCTGATTACAGTGTCCTTCCCACCCCTCTATCCCCCACATCTAACCTCTCACTCCTCCTCCCATCCAGGCACTCCCTTTCTGTCATTAGAAAACAAACAGGCTTCTAAGGGATGATAAGGAGAAGAAAAAGTAAGATAACAAAATTTAACTCACTGAAATTGGACAGAATGAGCAAACAGAAGGGAAAGGGCCAAGAGAAGGCACAAGAAACGGACACTCACTCATTCACATACTCAGGCATCCCACATAGACACTAAACTGGAAGTCATAACATATCTGCAACGGGCCTGGAGCAGACCTGAGCAGGCCCTGTGTGTGCTGCCTCAGTCTCTGAGTTCATATGAGCTTGGATCATGGTGACTTAGAGAATCTTATTTTCTTTGTGTCCCCCATCCCTTCTGGTTCTCACGTTCTTCCTGCTGTTCCCTTGAACCCTGGAGGGAGGGAGTTGATGGAGACATCCCATTTAGAGCTGTGTATTCATTGGTCTCTGACTCTCTTCATAATGTCTGCTTTGGGTCTCTGTATGTGTTCTCATCTGCTCTAGGAGGAAGCTTCTCTGATGATGGCTGAGCAAGGCACTGATCCAGTGTATAGCAGAATATAATTAGGACCTTTTTCTTTCTTTCTTTCTTTCTTTTTTGCAATGTTTCTCTTCTTTTAGAACAATGGGATTTGGTTCACCCTTGGTCCCTGGACTATCTAGTGTCTGGCTCTTGATCACCCAATCAATGTCAGGCATGTGTTCCATCTTTCGGAGTGGGCCGAAAGTCAAATCAGATACTGGTTGGTTGATCTCACAAACTTTGTGACACTATTGCACTAGCATATCTCACAGGCAGAACACATTGTGAATGTATCAGGTCTCCATTTTACTTCCCAAATGGCAATGAATTTTAGCTATCTCTCCCTCTCTTTCCTACTCCTCTCCCCTTCCAACCTGATCCTCCCATCCCAGCCACCTCCCTCCGGCCATAACTATCTCTTCTATTTCTCTTTCCTAACAAGATCTATCTCCCCGCCCCCATCCTCTGCCACCGCCCAAGTCCCTTGCTCTATAGCTAACCTCTGTGGTTCTGTGGATTCTAGCTCTGTTACCACTGACTTAACAACAGCTCTGTGATTTGTCATAGGCCATTTAGCTTTGTTCTCCACCTGGGGAATGCAGCCAGGATGGGCTTTCCCTCAGGATCACACAGCCCAGTATCTCTACCTCCTATATGGTGACTGTCACTCCATATACTATTCATGGACTCCATGGAGGGACCCTCCCTCATCAGGATCCCAGGGTCTGTATGGCCTCTATGGTAGTTACCATTCTGTACCCTATTCAGGTGTTCCAGGAGCCTCAGCAGTCCAGTCACTGACAAAATACTGAAGGCTGAGCGAAAGCAGGATGGTCTTTGTCTCCAGCAATTAGTCAAGGGCCAGTTCACTCAGGAGTTCAGATTTCTTTCCAGGGTGCAAGAGCAAAAGGAAGAAAAGGCTCTCCTTTGAACTGGGGGTGTAACTGTGGAAGCACCCAGGATGGGGAATGCCCAGTTGTGCAATCAAGCCCTACTCTGGCTTTCCTCTCCCCAGCCCCCCACCAGGGAGTTGATGAGTCAGTGGTTTTCCCCTGAGCCCAGCAGAACTTCCTCCCAAACCCTGACTGGGGCTTTACATAGGTTGTGTGTGTCTGGTCCCTCAGAAAAGTGACATACAGGTGTTCAAAGCGATTTCTGGGGACACCGGAGGGAAGCGGTTTGAGAACCACGTTGCTAACATGCCAGGGGCGGGCACAGGCAAAGTACACACTCAGAGGCCATCTAGAGCAAAGGGGTGGGACAAGCAGACTGCCAGTGTAGGTGACTCACCCGGCTGAGAGGTGGAGACTTGGGCTGGCTTTCCCTTGAGGCACAGACATGCTGTGGATTTGGGCTGCCCTCCCTCTGGTAAGCTTTGAGACGCCTGGGATATGGGACGATGAGCATTGGGGACCACCGCGCGGGAACCCAGATGCGGCTGGCATTGCATGACGGCCACCCCTTTCCGTCCGGATGTCCAGAAGGGCGGGGGAAGCTGCTTTCTTTCCTGGCTCGGTGCTTAGGGTTGATCTCCAGACTCAGACCCTGCAGCTCTGGCACTTTTCTGAGAAAAGTGTGAGTGGGGAACGGCCAGCGCTTGGTGCTGGCCGAGTCTTGATTGGCTTTGTCTTGGCTGGAGAGGGCAAGAGACATGCCCAGACAAAGATCCACTTTGTGGCAGGAGAGGGGTTCCCTCTGAGTGTGTGGCATGGATGGACTTGGCACTTGGCACTTTTGACAGTTCGTTCAGCTGGGGAAGTAAGTCTTCTCTGGGCTGTGGTTACAACCCAGGAGTCCGAAGGTAGCATTTCTCAAAGTAACTTTAAGAAAGTTACTTCGTATTAATAAGCCTCTGAAGATTTGTTTATGTTCTTGTGACAACGCGGAAAAATAAACCAATTTCTCCCCTTCCGGGAATTCAGCTGGACTGTGAGTGGCTGGACTGGTGGATATTTTTGTGTTGTTGTCTGTCCTGTTTCTTCTCTGATTCTTTCTCTGCTGGCGCTCTCCAGCAAGTTTGTCCGGTAACCCTTGGGCTGTGGGTCTCAGCCTGGTGCCTGCTGCAGGCACAGGAGTAAAAGCCCGCCCAGCACTTGGCCTCTACAGGAAAGTTCCCTGCTCAGGAATGCTGCCTTGATTATTCGATTTTAAACAGATTGTTTTATTTGGCCCCTAAGTTTAGACTGATTGTTTTATTGGACCCCTAAAAACTCCTGAGTATGATGTTATAACATCGATTTTCACAGCAGCGAAGAGAGGAAGACAGCCTCTGCTGGCTTTTAGAAATCAAAATGAAGTTCAGAGAGCTTAAGAACTGCAGCGATAACACATCTAACTTGTGGCAGTGCTGGACTTGAACTCAGCTCTAACACCCAGGCACAAGCAGCTTGTGTATAAGCTGATGAGTGACTGCTCCGTGGCATGGTTAAGGGGAAGTTTTTTTGTTTTTGTTTTTTTTGTTTTTTTGTTTTTTTGTTTTTTTGTTTTGTTTTTTTTCTCTATAGATGTGACAGAACAGCCAGAGGCATTCGGAAGAGTCCAGAGTATATAAAGAAAGAACATGAACTGAACATGATAGCCAGTAGACTGGACATGGCGAGGGCTACCTGTGACAGACGGGAGAATAGCAGGGGATAAAGAATAGAGAACACACAGTGAGAGACTCGGGAGCAAAACACAGAACATAGTGAGAATAAGGAGGATGAGTAGCTAGGGGGTGGGAAGCTGGTGAGCTCAAGAGTTGGAGTAGGGAGAAGGTGAGAGGAGCTAGGATGCTAGCATGGACTTTGAAATGCATAACAGATACTTGCTTTGATATTCTGATAGGTGCCATACGTCCATAGGTGCCATGTCCCTCTTGCCAGAGGTAAGGGAAATGACTTTCCAGGGGGCCCCGAGGAGGCACATATAGTCAAACCATTGGTACAAGCAAGCCAGACAATTTGAGGACATGATGCAGATACTTTGGCCTTGCCAGGGCATGCATAAAATTATAATCCCTGAAGGCCCTTTTCTAGCCCCTTTTCAACCTGACTTACTGACTCCTGTCTCTCCCCTGGAAGGGACATAAGAGAACAGAGGTCTGCATTCAAAGAGTTTCTCAAACCGCCCCCTTTTTTTTCTGAATTCCCAAGTCCAGGTTTGGGGCTCATGGGATTCATGTATCCCAGATTAGTAAACTCTGCTCAGTCTTATCTTTAAGGGGCCCAAGGTCCAAGACATCATCCACAGTGGCCTTGTTCAGGGATGACACCGAGTACTTTGAAGATGACTGGGTAGAGTCCCTTCCAGACAGACTCCAGGGTCTGGGCAAAGATCTTAAGTATCCAAACCAAGTCTTCTGGAACTGGTGGGTGGGTTCATAGGTCAATACTGATCAAAGGCTTGGTAAGCATCCTGTGCTATAAACATGGTATAGATTTTTAAACTATGAACCCTTTCTGCTACAAATTTTAAGCTAACTTTTTGTTACAGATTTTACAAGTTGTTGTTTTTTTTTAACCACACCCAGTGAAGTTACAAATCCTTAGATACAGGAAGTTTGCACAATAGTCTTACAAATCTTGAGCTAAAGTTTATACTTCAGCAAACCTTTTAGAATTATAAGAGAGTTAAGTAAAACCAAGAAGAGTAGTATGAGATAAGGAGCCATGATTCATATTGGAAACTGTAGCACAGACAATAAAACAAAACAAAACAAAACAAAACCCAGAGATAGATACTGGGGTTCAAGCTGAAGATCAAAAAAGCAAAGTAGCCAAGTCACTAGCTCTTACCTCTACCTCAGACTGAAAGGATGATCCTTGCTCTATGAATCCTCAGCATGGCTGGAGACAGAATGCCTCCTGTCCTCAAGGTGGATGGAGGATAATTGCCAAGCATGAGACCCTAATCCTATCTTACATACCTCTCTAGTACTGGGATGAAAGGCGTGAGCTCTGCTTGTCTTTTAGACTGATTCTTTTCTATGTAGCCATGGGTGGCCTTGAACTCACAGAGATCCATCTGCCTCTGTCTCCTGAGTCCTGGGATTAAAGGCATATGCCACCATTGCCTGGCTTCTACGGCTGTGGCTAGCTTTGCATTCTGATATACAGGCAACGTTTATTAGATCATAAACAATATATCACCAAAGGAAACAGTTTACTTTTTAGCTGTTTTAAAACATAAAGTGTTTTTTCCTGTGTTCTTCGGTTTGCTGTCCTCCTAGTCAGAAAGACAAGTGTCCCTGCCTGACCCAGGACAGAGATTTTGTAGGAAACTTTTAAACAATCAGTTTTAGACCTGGAGAAGGAGGCCATAACCCAACTCAAGAGCCAGATTATTTAAAAATAAAGCGGAATATCATGGGACAATATTTAAATATTATCCACACACAGAAGACATTTGAATCTCTGTAAAACTGAATTTAGTGATCAGGGGAGAGACTTGAGCAGACAGAGCAAAGAAGACTCAGAGATAAGAGCAAGGGGCAGAGAAGGCTTAGAGATAAGAGATTTGGGGATCAATTGTTTGCACAGTGGCAGAAGTTGTTACTATGTGTGAGAATTTGGAAATCTAGTGTGCCACCTTTGGTTGTTGAGCTATACTGAGGCCAAGCCATTTGTAGTAAGACAGTGAGGCTTAATGGGATCTCTGAGTCTGAGGAAGAAAAGAGATTAGAGAAGGTGTGAGTGGAGTATTCTGAATGGAAGAGAGAGAGAGAGAGAGAGAGAGAGAGAGAGAGAGAGAGAGAGAGAGAGAGAGAATATGTATCCCAATAGGCTCAGGAGAACATAAAAAATGCCTGATGTACCTGCAGGTCTCCAATGTCAGGCTCCAGTGAGCCAATGAGAAGGATAGAGACAGGGTAGGAAGCTCCATGGAGAGATGAGGGGAGACAAATAGTTAGCCATGGTTAGAGACAGAGTTAGCTCCAGAAGGCAGCTGAGAGACAGAGCTAGCAAGGAGGATTAGAGTGAGGAGATGGACAAGAGAGACAGAGCAAGCTCCAGAGGGAAGCTGAGACCACATTGGGAAAGGAAAGCAAGGATGGAAGAGAGACGGATAAGTGACAAAATTCCAATCCAGGGCATCCCAAGTGGACTGAGAGCCTTGTCAGGAAGAAAAGTCTGAAATCACAAAGGAGAAGCATCCCTTTCCGGGCAATGGGTTCCGAATAGGGAGAGAGAACACATCAGCATGACTTTCATAACAGTAGTAGGCTCTATCTAGCGGCTGACAGAGAAAGAGCAAGTAGCTTCCAGGAGAGAACAGGTGGAGGGAAGAAGCAGCTGAAGATGAGGACTCTGAAACTTGGAGTAGGGCATGGTGGGCATCAGGAGCCAGAAGAAACAAATATCCCATACCTTAGGAGCGTCAAGTCAGTAGCTTGGTTTGGTTTGGAGAGGCTAGGCACCTTGGAAAGGGGTCTCTGTGTACCACTCCAGGGTACACAGAAGCAGCAGGTATATAAAGTGACGCCATGACAGATGCACAGTATGGTTAAGGGGAAGGTTTTTGTTGTAGATACGAGAGAAAGAACAGCCAGAGCAGAGAGAATGAAGCAAACTGGATATGGCCAGAGCTAATTGGGAGAAAGGGGAGGGTAGCAGGGATGGGGAACAGAGACAATCCAACGACAGAAGCAGGAGCAGAGGTGGGGCAGTACATAGCGAGAATAGCGGGGCTATAAGGAGAATGAGTAGCTGTGGGGAGGGAAGCCCATGAGCTGGAGGGAGTTTAGGTTAGGGGAGGAGGTGAGAAGGGCTGGGATGCTACAGTAGTACTTGTGGTACCAGCATGCACTGTGATAGCCTGATAGGCCTTCTGCCAGCAGCAAGGGAAATTGACTCCTTGGCTGCCTTTTTATCTAACTGCCAGAAATCCTTCTACAGTCCAGGCTGAACTCATTTCTGGATATCTGTACTGCCTTTTGGAGTTTGAGGAACTGGAGTTTCTTTTGGACTAGACAGTTTGCTCGTTGCATCTGATACCCGGAGTATAACAGGAGTAAAATGACAGAGGCTCTTATACTTGGCACCTCATGAAGGAGTAAAAATGTCCCTTTGGTTCTTTAAGACATACTGTACAATGTTTGGCCTTTAGAAATGCCTTTAGGGTGTTCTAAGATCCTCCTTGGTGTAAACTGGCTTGTCATCATTGCGTCACTGCAGTGTGGGTGGCTTGGAAACACTCTCAGCTCTGAGAAGTATGCCGAAGGCTGGAGCTATGCTCAGCTCAGGCCCAGCTGTGTCTTTATCATAGGATGTGTGCCGCAAGAACCCAAGAAACAGTCTTCCTAAAGGAATGCACACAATACGTGTATGCACATGTGAAGTTTTACACACGCATTAGTACATAAATATTAAAATTATGATTTAAGCCTG